ACATGGCAATTTACTATTCAAGTGAAGTTACGAAGCCATATAGTGTAGTGATGTAGAAAATATGAATAAATTTAAACCTAAGAGTGCCTAAATGCAAGAGTGCGCATGTGAGCGAGATTGAACCCATTTCACACGTGATGTCAAAGCATAAGTAAAGTACATTAGAGGTAAAATAAGAATTATACCATCAGGTAGTAATCTCCTATGTCCACATTTGCCAAGAATCATCGTCGACACAAAAGCTCTGCCACTAAAACATGGAGGGGCGAAAAACAAGGGTGAGTGGGCCTAAAAATAAAGCTTTGTAAAATATTTTAGAAAACGTAATAGCCCATCGCCACGAAACAAGTATACTTTCCAAATATAGCATACTACATATAGTATGAAAATACTTACCGTAAACAGTAATATCTTGAAAATGCAATAATTCACAATATTTCGCATATAAACTATATAACATCCGGTGCTCATCAACATATGCCGACACACAAGTTCACACAAAAATATTTTGATATGAACATGATTGGGTGTAATAATGATTTACGCTCTAGTACTACGATCACGTGAAGGCTGGCGTTAAGTGCATCACATACAAGTCCTAATTGCCTATAGCAATTTAGGACAAGACTGACACCTACCATGGATTCAAGGTGAGCGTAGCGGTGTGATGTGAACATACACCTGAAGGCTGGCCTTGGCCCTGGGCGAGTACAAACACCAGTGTAAGCATGTATGATGAGTAGTAACATAAGTATGATTATGCCATAGTAATCTGATAATTTTAGTCAATATAATACTATTCATGGTCATAAATATAATTAAGGCATCTCATAATAGTACGCATACATGTGCAACATGTATGATTTGGAATTGTGGATGCTAAATTCCAACATCTTCTCTTTTGACGAAAAAGCATCTGCAAGATAATAACACCTAAGATTAAGGCCAAAAGCCTCACGATAAATGGGGGGTGCTTTGGCTGAAGAATCTCTGATGCCAAAGTTAGAATTCTAAAAAGAGTGTGTTTAGGAGTTTGTGGGTTGCAGATGGCTTAGCATTTTAGTGGGATAATAGGGTCATTTATAAGGAATTGGTCGGCCCTATTTGGAGAATAGTGGCCGGCCATATATGGTGTATTTGGAGAATAATTGCAAGATATTATGTGAAATAATATCTTGCAATTAACATGATAATTAATCCCAAATTAAATAGGAAGTTTTAGAATTTACCTTTTGAATAAGGATTTGATAAGGAATGATAGGAGGGATTTTGAATAAATTTAATTTGATCACCTTTGACTTTTCCTTGATGGAGCTGTTATTGTCCGTTGCATGCACGTGGGAATCCCGTTGTGCCTCGAGGGTAATTTTGCTTTTAACCCAAAAGTCCACGTGTCATCTCCATAATTTTCTTGATTATTTTTGGCTCCACAAACGTCCCCACACCTGCTGGGCTGCTCTCAAGAAAGGGCAACAAGTGTAGAGATCTACAACTTTCATGCAGATTCCCACTTGGACTTGGAATTAGATTCTTCTAGGAAAGTGAAATAAATCGCCTCCAAAGCCTATTTATCCTTACAAGAAATAGAGAAAGTTAGAGAATAGTTGCTCCCCCTCCCCTAGCATTATTCTTTGCTTGCTCATGCAAAGAATTGTCTTTTGTTGATTTATTTGTCTTCTACATGCCGCACCAAGGTAAGAAAAATTTAATTTTCTTTGTCTTCTTCTTGGGTGGTGATGTCGTAGGGCAGTCGTTGAGGTGGTGCAGCACGTCAGTTGGCATGGGCCAAGAGTCGGCTCGGTATAGGCCGATGAGGTTGTGTGGCAAGGGCCACAACTTGGGCTGCTCGGCTTGGCTGGAGCCAAGAATTGGTTCGACATGGGTCGGGGAAGTGGTGTGGCAGAGGCCACAGTTTGGGCTGCTTGTCAAGAAAGAAGAAATTGTTTGAGTTTGATTTCTCAGCTGCGGTAGATGGAGTAATCGAATATGGTGCTGCCAAGATCGGAGCTGCTGAAGATAAAGTGTTGGGTGAGCAAACTTTTGAGATCGAAGTGGCTGCTAAAGGTAGGATGGTTGCTAGAAAGCCCAAGGTTATCCAATGTGGTAAATGAGTAGTCTGCTCGGTTTAGCTTGTGTCGGATTTTGACAACTTTCCTATAAGTTTATAAATTTGCTAGAAATTTAATAAACTACTTTCGCTTTACTTCATCTTTGTTTTTCTTGAAACTTTGCTTGCTTAAAGCTTATTGCAAAACTTTTAGTTATAAAGCTGTCGGTTGAGCACGCTACTTTAAAAAAGCCTGACGATCCCACAGAATCACTATAGCCGTGAGTTTTGGCTTCTTGGGGCATCGAGCTGTTGAGTTCATCATCAGCTGCTGCCACCTGACCATTTGTTGCTTAGCTGGTATTCGAGTATTTGATCCTTTGAGCTGTGTGGCCCATATGGGTATCAGGGAATTGGTTTATCCTTTCGCGCTGAAGAGCTTACCTAGATGGGTGTCGGGGAATTAGTTTACCCTATCACATTTTAGAGCAATTAGTTTACCCCCTCGCATTGGAAAGCTTACCTATATAGGTGCCGGATAATTAGTTTACTCTCTCTTGTACTGGAGAGTAATTAGCTTACCCTCTCGCACTAGAGAGCTTACTAGGAATTGCTTTACCCTCGTACTAGAGAGCAATTAGTTCACCCTCTCGCATTGGAGAGCTGACCTATATAGGTGTCGGGGAATTGGTTTACCCTCTTGCACTGGAGGGCAATTAGTTTACACTCTCGCACTAGAGAACAAACCCATATGGGTGTCAGGGAATTGGTTTACCCCCTCGCATTGGAGAGCATGGAAGTCGTTGTCGTGAACGCAGCTGAGGAAAGCTGGATGACTGAAATAATCCTTAGTCTGTGAAATTTTGTTTGGCGATATGCTTGAGACTTCGAACTGCTTGTGGAACCCACATAAGGGTGTAAGTGGGAAGCATAATAAGTTATTTCTGGGCCTTCTCCAAGTATTGCGCCATCCTTAGATGTTTCATCGTGTGTTCTTCTGAGGCTTGGTTGGTGGTCAGCTGAGAATCTGAATAGATAGCAAGCTTCTCCACCGCTAAGTTTTTTGCCAGCAGAGGCTACTAGTAAGGCCTTGTATTTTGCTTCATTGTTGGATGCTTTAAACTTTGAAGTGTCGTAGGCTAGGTCGGCGTAAATAGAAGCCACAAAGTGGCATGACTAGAAGCTGTGGTGCAAGATCGACAGTGCTAGGAGCCATGGTGGCAGATTAAGGACGGCCAGGGCCATGGAGTAGGTAGCACTACTACAATATTAGCTTTAGGTGGTGGATGATGGTGGCAGATAGTAGAAAAATCATGTCGGATAAATTATATCCGACACATCATTTAATTAGTGGCGGATATTAGAAAAATCTTGTCGGTTATATCTGACATAAAGTCCTGGTGGATATATAAAAAAATCCTTTTTTTTTTTAAATATTTTTCACATATTCTGGCGGTTTTTAAGTTAATGGTGGCGGTTATAATCGACAGAAATGAAAATTTTATTATTTTAAAATGTTATATTGATTAAAAATAAATAAATAGACACATATTTTAAATATTTTTTTTTTTGTCACCCATGACCCTAAAGTCTAATGAACCCATTTCCCACGAGCCATAAATTTTCTGAAAGAATAATAACAACAGACTACAATCTGAAGCTCTATCATTTTTGTAATAAGGATAATGCTCCCTCACAGACAAGCAACAAGATACAAAGAAATTCAGACAATTTTTTTCAACGTGTCACAAAGCACATTGTCTAGCACATAAACACACATGAACATCTGGTGTACTTTATCATGTCTGATTTTATTATTTTAAAATGTTATATTGATTAAAAATAAATAAATAAACACATGTTTTAAATATTTTTTTTCACGCATGCCTCTGTCGGATATAACCGACACGAACAAAGCAAAATTTTGGATAGCCGCCAGAATAATCTCTGAATTTTTTTTTGTTTTTTTTTTTGGCAATGTTTTACACATGTTATCTCGGAGTATATACAAACATATTTGATGGTTGGATCGTTTAGTTTCGTAGAATCATATCAAATTGAAAGATTTAACAAAAACTTAAGAGTTAATGTTGTACTTCCATTAAGTATAAAATAAGATTTATCCACTAGTGTAAATATTTTAAATTGAAGATCGAATTCATTCATTGCATTCTTGTAGGGCCGAGGAGTGTAGCTGTAAAAAAATCATCAAATCGGAGCTAAAATAACCGTTAAATTGTGATTTTTCGTTTATAACCATCGAAAACTTTTGGTCCGTTACCTAATCTCTCAATGTTTTTTTTTTGCGATTTTTTACGTATGCGATCTTGTAGTATCTACAAACAAGTTTGGCGGTTAGATCATTGAAACTAGTTTCGTAGAATGCATATCTCTGTTAAATTTGCCTAAATTTTGAAGTGTGAAAAGTAATTTGTGTTAAATTTTTATTTATGTTTTTTAAGTATTGGTTAGAGAATATTTAGTTTGTGTGATGAAATTTTCATTGTACAATTATGTTTTTGTTTCCTTATTGCATATTTTACATGGGTTATTATCTATTAAACCAAACAATTATTTATTCAATATTTAAGAACATATTCTATTTAAATACATATTATTTATTTATTTATTAAACCAAACAATTATTATTTTATTTTTTAATATTGTAACAAAATTTTGGGGGGAATTTAAAATTTTGGGAGGGAATTTAAAATTTTGGGGGAATTTTTGCCACTATTTTTTCTGTCGGTTATAACCGACAGTAATGAAAATTTTATGTCGGTTCATATTTTGAAAAATGTTTCTATCGGTTTTAACCGACAGTAATGAAAAATTTCCAACATAATACCCCTCTATCTTTTCCTTGTGCCGGTGCCTTCTCATTTCCCCCTTCCTTCCCCTTTTTCTCTTTCTGCATTTCCTTCGCTTCTCTTCTCTCCTCATTTCCTTCTCCCTTCCCCCTTTCTTCCCCCTTTTCTCCCCTCCCTTTCTTTTGCTGGGTTCAACACTTGCAGTTTATTAGGTTACAACCATGAAATCGTCAGACACAGATGCCACAACATACAGTTTGGACCGAGGAGAGCTGGTACAAATTTCACTTTTTAACATTTTAAGAGATTATTTTGGATGTCTTCTTGTGCAGTCTAGTTGTTGTCTTTGTTCTGCGTAGTTATTTTTATTATCTCAATATTTCATGATTTGGAAGCAGTTTGTTGTCTAACTGTACCATATTGGCCACTTGCTAAGGAAACTATGCTAAGTAAATCTAGCTTCCTATCTGATTTGATCTATACTATGGCCTTGTCTGGCTTGGTCTTCTCTGTGTGTCATTTCCTGTTTCTGATAGGTTAGATTTCTCTGTAACTTCTCCATGTTTCTAATACTGCTTCTATACATCTCCAGGTCATCTCCAAAAATGGCCAAGAAACTGTAAATACAGCTCTCAAAGCTGATTTGGTTGTATTGAACATCGCAATTTCTGGGAAATGGTTGGAGGTTGTTCTTCGAGAAAATGTTCCCCGTGTTTTCCCAAAAGTGTTGTGGTGGATTCATGAAATGTGTGGCCATTACTTCAAATTAGATTATATTAAGCACCTCCCACTTTTTGCAGGTTCTATGATAGATCTCCATTATCATAGATCTCATCAACACTGTAAGTATTTCGATTTTCATTTGATTTCGAGGAGAGATTCAATTGAATGAGCAATGCTTGCTGTGATTGAGTGATTCTAATGGAATGTGAATGTCTGATCTTGCTGTGAATATGGAAAATGCAGTGAATGCAGGGGATATGGAAAATGCAGAAAGTGCAGTGAATATGGAAAATGCAGAAAGTAATTGTTCATTTTTTTATTATTAATATATTTTTTGTCGGTTTTATCCGACAAGAATGTTTTTATTTATTCTTATTAATATATTTTCTGTCGGTTAAATCCGACACAAGTCCTGTCGGCTAAATCCGACACAAGTCCTGTCGGCTAAATCCGACACAAGTCCTGTCGGCTTTAGTATTTTCTGTCGGTTTTAGCCGACATAAATGCTCTTATTTATTCATTATTAATATATTCTCTGTCAGTTATATCCGACAAAATTTCTGTCGGTTTTAGAGTATTTTCTGTCGGAAAATTCATTTCCTGACGCTGACAATTCTGTCGCTTATTATATCCACCATTGCATCCATTTTCTGTCGAATTTTGCTTAAAATCCGACAGTAATAGATAATTTTGTAGTAGTGTGGGCATAACTTTGTATGCAAAGTTATGATGAAAACAAGACATGCCACTGGTTCTTGGTGATTGGGCCGGCGTGTCCTTCTGGTAACTGTCTACCCCTGACATGCGATTAGGCAGAGTTATTGTGTTTGTTATAATAGAAGTAATGATTGTATCCTCCAATGATGGTTCTATTTGCTCGATCTTGTCAATGAAATGTGACCTGTTTATGTTGGTCATGTCTCATTGAAGCGCTTCGTTAGTAGCTTTGTTGCGTTGGAAACCACCTAATTGTGTGGTCAGGAGCCTCTCAACTTCTTCCTGAATTTTCCTCTTTAGGGCAACAAAGCATTCAACTGTCGCTAGTCGTGACCTGTTGGTCTAGGCTACTCTTCCTTGTGCTCAGCTCATCTATGTCGCGGCTACGGTGCAAGTTGTTTGCTTTTGGCAGGCGAGCAGGTCACTTGTAGGCTGCCAGCTGAACTTAAGCCGGATTAAGTGACTGTTTTTCTCCATCCGTTGTACTGCTTACTCCAATGTAAGGTGGATGATGCTCTTTGCAGGCCTAACCCGAATGAACACTTCACCTGAAGGTTGTCCATGTTGATTATCGGAGTGTGGCCCCAACTATAAATGTATGCTCGTCCGTGGACCTAATCGGGAATGCACGCTCTTTTGCACGCTAAGATGAAATTATATGCTATCTTGGGGGCCCAGATGAGAGTGTACACTACCAAAACACTTGGTTAGTGGTTAGTCAGAGGGCTATTTACCGAGATGCTGCTAGAGAGGTTCGTCGTCTGCCTTTGTCCTACTTCAGGATACCTTATGTGGGGCACACTACATCTTGGTGTGTTGCAAAAGCTGATTCCTCAAGGTCGTTTGTTGTGTGAAGGCGTTTGTTAACTCGATGACTTGTCGAGACAAGTGTTGTTCGCCATTTTGGATGGAAAAGCTTGGACGGTATACGTCTCCTTGAGTAGTGGAAGTGCAATTGACTTTAGGCACGAGATTTGAGTTGGGCTATGTCAAATTTGCAGAAAACAAGGTGAAAATACCCCTGATTCAGTTATTGGTCAAGAAATCTGAAGTCAGGACAGTTGAACCGATCTGGGTAGCTAGGTGAGCCACGAAAGTGGGCTGAACCGCAGATCCGGGTCGAATCGCAGGCATAGGCCAAATCACAAACTCGGGCTAAGCCACCGTGGTGTACGGGCACTGGGCCTTTCCTCTTTTTGATGTGGCTTGGGCTTGCACTACATCATAGGCATACAAATCTTGGGCTGGCTACCCCAAGGGCTTGCTGCTCTGTAGCTGCTCGCTGGGTTGCTGCTCCGTGGGCTGCATCTATCATTGTTTCGTGGCTCAGCTGCCATGGAGTTGTCCCATTCTCTACTGCCACGACAATTGTCGTGGCTGCCATGGTGGTGTTGCTCCATTGTGGCAAGTTACTCCTTTTGTCACTGTGAGTCTCGTGGATCGTCGTGGTGGGGCTACATCGCATCCTCCATCATTTAATCCAGATCTTTGAACGTAGGAAGTTCCATTCATTGTGATTTTTTAATTTCCCGTCATTGTATTTTTCTTCTACGTTTATTCAAAGAATTAAAAATTCTAGGAATAAGAATGTATGAAAAATTTACAAACGAACGAGAAATAAGAAACTTTGAATGCGAAAGTCTTCTTCGAGTATGTGAATCAAACTCTCAATGAAAGCACCAATTTGTGGATGCAAATTTCTGCCATCTTCTCCTTTGACAAAAATGCCCCTACAAAATAATAACACCTAATATTAAGGCTAAAAGCCTCACGCGCCCACAATGAATGGTGGGGGGGGGGGACTTTGGCCAAAAAATCTCTGATCCCAAAGTTAGAATTCTAAAAAGAATGTGTTTAGAAATTTGTGGGTAGCAGATGGCTCAGCATTTTAGTGGGATAATAGGGTCATTTATAGGGAAGTGGCCGGCCTTATTTGGAGAATAGTGGCCGGCCTATATAGTGTATTTGAAGAATTATTGCATAATATTATGTGAAATAATATCTTGCAATTAACATGGTAATTAATCCCAAATTAAATAGGAAGTTTTGGGAGTTACCTTTTGATAAGGATTTGATGACGAGTGATAAGAGGGATTTGAATAAATACCATTTTGATCACCTTTGACTCTTCCTTGATTGAATCGTTATTGTCCGTCGCATGCGTATGGGAATCTCGGTGTGTCTCGAGGGTAATTTTGCTTTTAACCCAAAAGTCAATGTGTCACCTCCATAACTTTCTTGATTATTTTTTGCTCCACAAGAATGATTTCCTAATTCTCATCATTATAACATTTCTGATAACGTTAATTTAATTATGGCATAATGTAGAAAATGCATTATTAAACATACATACATACACACACACACACACACACACACACACACACACACACACACACACACAGAGAGAGAGAGGTTAAATAAATATTAACAATATTTAAAAGAAAAGACACACTCATAGTTACTTGCGAGGTCATAGCAGTTTGAACTCGGAAAGCCAGAGTCTCCGATAATAATCGCACCTAAGAGTCTCATATAATAATCGCACCTAAGTATGATATTGAAGCCCATTAGTAAATGTCATGCCCCGACCCGCGAATAAAGACTATTCACGAGTTAGGGTGTGAGCCATATCTTAGTTATAGAAATAAATTCTACAACCAAGATATGGTGGAAAATAAAATAAAATTATAACGAATTACACCATACATTAACAAAATCTTCCGTAAAATTTATTGAATATGCAACGGAATAACTATAGTTCACAAATTAATTCACAACAAAAACTACCAATTAGATAATAATTAAATTGTAACAATTCTTTCAAATGCAGGAAATACATGCAAATGAGATGGATGAATGTACTCGCTCCCTTCTAATCCCGCAGAAAACTGGACAGCCATATTATGAGTACCAAAACCCCATTTTTCATAGCTCCAATTGAAACACTTCTGTCACAAAAGTTGTTCCTTATCATCTCCTCTATAACATATCCAAAAACCATGACAATCCAATCTATGTGCTGACTTGTACCCCAGTTCGAACAGCTGATGTTTGGTTGAGCTAGCCTTCTATGCCAACCTCTTTGCATGGCCAACATCTCTAGTTTTTTCGCTCACTTTCATGGAAGTTTTTCAGCAATCCGAGTCCTATTACATATGTAAAATTTTAGCTATATTAAAGAAGGAAGGGGAAGTGGCGAAGGAAGAAAGAGAACAAGAGGAAGGAAATGAAATTGAAACAACAAAAAGATGAGGAAATGGTAATGTATTGTTTATCATTTATGTTGATGTTAAAGATTATTGCTTTGTTGTTAATATTATGATTATATTACTATTGTTACTAACTAATTTGATTTATGTTGAAGCTTACAGGCTTGTTAAAGACAATGTGATTATTGATATATATGTAAACATGACACATACATATGCATTGCAAAGCAAGAAAGAGAGTTCAGTTGTGTTGAGTTGTATAAAGTGTTTGAGTTGTAAGGATATTCAAGGATGAAAAAAAAATGCCTTGAATATAAAATAATTAACCTTGTATACGTTAGGCGTCAGGGGAAGGGCTTGAGTATATAACTGGTTGGTTATAAAATAATGAAATCTTGTATATGTCAGGTGTCGGGAGAAAGACTTGAATATACAATTGGGCGTCGGGGGAAGTGCATGTATAATAAAGTGGAAACTGAGAATGTAATTACAAAAATTGGGTTTAAAGGACGAACGGGAGTTAACTCATATTCTAAGGTATTCGGAGTCAAGTTGTAAAAGTATGGTATGGGACATGCAGGCTTGGTGCCTTAGGTATGTGTTAGCAAGATTAGAACGGAGTGAGTACATTCATCCATCTCATTTGCATATATTTCATGCATTTGAAAGAATTGTTACAATTTAATTATTATCTAATTGGTAGTTTTTGTTGTGAATTAATTTGTGCACTATAGTTATTCTACTACGTATTTAATAAATTTTATGTAAGATTTTGTTGATGTATGGTGTAATCGTTATAATTTAATTTAATTTTCCACCATATTTTGGTTGTAGAATTTATTTCTATAGTTAAGATATGATTCACACCCCAGCTCGTGAATAGTCTTTATTCGCGGGTCGGGGCATGACAGTAAAACTCAGTTAAAACACTTAAATTTGGAAAAACGGACTGTGAATTCAAAACAGTGCGTTGTAATACCCTAAGAAAGGTCCTGGGCAAGTTTCGTAAAAAGTCAACGGTCAACCCAAAAAAGTCAACTGAGAGACCAAGCCGATTAACTACTTTAAAACTTTGAAATTTCACTAAATGGATGCCAAAAACAGAGCCAGGGCATCACAATTAGTCTGGGAGGATTCTTGAGAAAATTTCATAAAAGTCAACGCAGAGAATATTCCAATTGAATTGGGTCGGGTTAGGGTAAACGGGTCACTGGATTAGGTCAACAGGCAGTGTTGGATTCAGGTTAGGGTCATCGGTTCCGGTCGACCCGGTTTGCCGGAAAACTAATGGGAAACTAGGTAAACTCGCCAGATTTTCTGAGAAATTTTCAAATGGCAATACCTCTCTCATTTTTCAACCAAATTCGACCCATAATATATCAAAACGAAGCTAGAGAAGAGTAGAACAAGATTATACCAATTTGGAAGCCAAATGGTGGCTGGAAAATGCTTGCAAAAATTGCAATTCTCACTGGAAAACT